CACACACCCACACTCACACTCACACACACACACACACACCCACATACACACACCCACACACACACACCCACACACACACATACACACACCCACACACACACACATACACACACCCACACACACACCCCCACACATACACACACCCCCACACACCCACACATACACACACATACACACACCCACAAACACTGTCATCAGGAACCACCATCACTGATAACTAACAACGATCGACCGATAACCGATATCTCTAACCGATATTCACACTTTCATACATTGCTTATTAGTCATATAATAACAGATCTACTCTGATTGACTCTATTAGCATTTTAAATATAAAACCCAACCACAATATTTAAGTAACTTAATGAATCGCTAAATTATCTTCTATGAAAAACTTCATAAACATCAGCCATTTCTTCCAGAGTTGTTATTATTAACTAAAACTTTTTTTTTTTAATTAGAAATGTTCCCCTCACAACTAACTGGAGTAAAGTACTAAATTCACCAAAAGTTGATCGGAGATTAAAAAAATAATACGTTTGTAAGCTAAATGGAAATATTTATTTAAAAGAAGCATAACAAAAGTACTACAAAAAATATATACTTACAATACATACTAAAATAGTATATAAATTGTACTTAAATAATAATGTTTTTTTTTACAACTTAGAAATATGTAGCTATGTAAAACATACATATTTAAGGATCTAATTTTATATATCGGTAATATTTAACTAAATTTAATTGAATATATAACAAAAACCGAAATGCATAATTATACATATTATGCTTTTGTAATTGTAGTCACTTATTATGGTCACGTTATTTTATTATTCCAATACAATTTTAGCATTAATTATATCGTATTTATTGATAATATTTATGTTACACCGTTTAAATCAGCTTGCATGTTTTTATTTTCAGGTTTAATGTCATGCTTTAGTACTTCAGTCATGTTTCGGGTGTGTGTGCAGGGTTATCGGGCTCCCCGGACTCACCTGTGTCCAGCGCCGCAGGTGTGCTGCTGCAGGTGCTGCTGTGGGTCTGTCGGATCTCGCGGAAGAAGGTGAGGGTCTCCTTCAGGTTCTTCTTCAGGAACACGTTGTGTTTGTTGTAGTGGCTGAAGGCTCGGGTCAGCTCTCTGACCACAGGGCTGTTTCTCTGCGGGTTCTCCATCCTGATCCCGGGGCGAGTCCGCGTCACGCATCCATCCGAGCTCGCGCTGCTTCTGCAGAGACCCGGATCACCAGGATGGACCGGACCGATAACTTTACAACAACAACAACAACCAGCGGTGTGTGTGTGTGTCAGTGCATCAACACACACACACACACACACACGCACGCACGCACGCACGCACGCACACCCGTTAACCGGGCCGATATCGGCGCTCGGGAGGCTCGACGAATGCGGTTCGGATCGGTAACACACACTCGGGCGGACTGGAGGCCGAACCGGGTCGCGGGTCACGCTTGGCGGCTGCTCGGCGGCTTTTTCCGCGCGAATGAGCGCCGATCATCGATAATCCCGGTGTTTGCGTCGGTGCACCTCGGGAATGTTTCACATTTCAGCCCGAACACGGGAGGCTTGCGCTACCAGCCGCTGCTGCTGCTCCGGTGGGCGGGGCGCGACTGGTGCATGCTGGGAAATGCAGTCCTCTCGGCCTAGCGAACATAAACAAAGAAAAACACGTAGGGAAATACACTATTAGGAATTATTTTGATATCAGCACACACCGCTTTCTAACTCTGGTCGCTGTGCGTATAGCATCCAGCTAATCTTTATCTTAATTTTATCTTTATCTTAAAAAAAGGAAAAAAAAGTTGTGGAATTGTCACAACCTACTCTTTTTCAGAGAAGCAAAGGATTGTGGGTAATGTAGTATAAACGCTGTGATGCACAGTCGGTGTAGTACACTGCATGTATAAGTTTAGTAGTAGCCTGGCGACCTCTACTGGTTAAATACAGCATAGCTTCACCAATTAAATCACTGCTTTTGTGATTATTTACCACATTTATTATATCTACTAATAAAACTACTTACATTTAAGCATAAAGCACTGTTAACGGGACCTTCCGATGTAAAATTCACATGACTAAACACATGAATTCCCCTAAAATACCCCCTCCTGGTTAAACTTTCAGTTTTATTAGTGAAGCTGAGTGATGTAATGGGAAGTGTGGACGTTACATGAATAATAAACGTGTCTGAGGCAAAGCAGATCGATTCAGTTAAAGTTTTAAACACGCCCACCTGCGATAGCCCACAGCAGACCGCAAGCGAGAGGGGCGGGGCTTACGCTCAGCGACGCCCCGCCCACACGCGAGTCTAGCCGCGACGCCCCGCCCACACTGGACTCAAGTAGACGCTCCGGACGCGCCGCTCGCTACACTGTGTCGCCTGCACGCGGACATGAACGCACGTCTTCCTCATCTTCCTCCGCGCGTGGAGCCGGTCATGGAGCGTGCGGACGCCGTCAAGCGTCAGGCGGTGAAGCGGCACCATCACAAACACAACCTGAAGCACCGCTACGAGTTCCTGCAGACGCTCGGGAGAGGCACGTACGGCCGCGTGAAGAAAGCCACGGACCGGGCCGGGAGAACGGTGAGAGCGCCTCACGGCATCACACCGGGCACAGATGTACCAACTTTTAATTTAAAAATTTTTTTTTATTAATACTAATAATATTAGGAGTTAAATAATATAAAATTATTTTAAAAAAAAATTATTTAAAATAAGAATTAATTAATTTTAAATAATACAATTTATTTTAAAATAATACAATATTTAGAATAAAATATAAAAATATTTTTTTAAACCAAAAAGTCCTTTCTCTTGGGTTTGTGGATGGTTGTTGAATTTTCCTGCAGGTTTTAAGCAGTTTTTCTGACTGAGGAGAGCAGCTCTGGGGTCAAAGGTCTTCAGCACTGACCCAGGAGCTCTGTGTGTGCTGTCAGTAAACACTGAACCGGTTCTAGCCTTTGCAAAGAGCTTTAAATAGCCCTAACGTGTTTGTACAGGGCTTGGTCACTGGCACTCCTCAGTTGCTCTACTCTATATTCTGCAGGTCATGAAGTCAAGCCTATTTTTAGGATCACCGGCTTTGTTTTTATTGATTTGTTTTTGCATTTAAAACTATCTTCATGACATTTAAGCACACACAGCCCTAAATTATCACTCTTATAATGTCTCTTTAAAAACAATAGTAATTATGTTTTGGAAAATATTAAATTAAATAAACATTACTATATGTAAATATTTTGTATTTTAGTTTATATACTGTATATATATATATATAATTTCATTACTAATATTAGTTTATTTTATAGATGTATTCTAAAAAACATTTATTCTACAATACAAATATAAAATATTATATATTTAATAGTATATATTGTAAATATGTATATAGTATGTAAATTATAAATATAATTTTGGTTATTCTCATCACTGTTATACTTGTTTTTTTATTTTATTTTAATTGAGATATAGCTTTTAAAAAAAAATGTAATCGCAATAAAACATTATCATGATGTAGAAATACTTAATTTTATATATATATAGTGTTTTTATAAATACTTTATTTCATGCTCTCTCAATATATTTGATCTAATTGGATTATAAATTAATATTTTTTTATTTTACAAATGTGTTCTATACATTTCAGTAATGAGACTGTGTGTGTAGAACCTTAAGTGTGTTTAATTTTCATAAAAATAATCGTTAAAATGCAAAAAAAAAAAAAAAAATTCATAATGGTCCTAAAAGCATGCTGAAAAAATGAAAAGTCCTGTATTATTCTACTGATTTGTGCCGAAATGTGACCTTTGACCCCTGGTGATGAATCAGGCTGGATGCGAGGTGTGCACTTTAGCCTCGTTTTGCACTAAAGACCTTAAATGAGAAACAACACTGTATAAAATCATATTTTCTGTCAATATATCTGCTGTAAAAGTACTGTTTCTTACCTCTGAAGCACAAAACACACTACGTTTTGATAGATTTATGCCTAAAAAAATTTTTTTTTAAACCTAAGACATAAAAACAAGTGCTAATTATTAATAAAACTATCCTGGTCTAAGAATTTGTACATATTTCTATTGGAAAAGAAAAAATACTGAATGACATTTATATGACTAGCAACGTTGTGTAAAATAATATTTCTGAATATATCTGCAATTAAGCTTGTGTTTTTAACTTGGAAGCATAAAACTAAGATTTATGTCTAAAACAAGAGAAGTATTTTTACTGAATTAAAAAAATATATATATATATTTTTTATTTTTATTTATTTTGTTAATAAAAAATATATTTTTAATTATTTTAGAAATTATTTTATTCTAAATAATTATTAAAATCATTGATTCTCCCCCAAATAAATTTCTTGTTTTAAGGATGTTTAAATGTATTAATACGTTTATTAATTTTATTAATAGACACCGATACTGATGGAGGAAATGGCATTTCTGTGATTTCTCAGACGTCGTAGAGGGTAACACAGTGTTTTTACTATAGTACTGTGGTGCTTTGTTTCTTTTTCCACGTCCAGAGCGATCGGGCTGGTTTCTGGTAATCCACTCACTCACTCACACACTCACTCACTCACTCTCACACACACACACACACACACTCGCTCACTCACTCACACTCACTCACTCGCTCATTCACACACTCACACACTCACACACTCTCAGTCACTCACACACTCACACACTCTGTCACTCACACACTCTGTCACTCACACACTCTGTCACTCACACACTCTGTCACTCACACACTCTGTCACTCACACACTCTGTCACTCTCACACTCTGTCACTCACACACTCTGTCACTCACACACTCTGTCACTCACACACTCTGTCACTCACACACTCTCAGTCACTCACACACTCTCAGTCACTCACACACTCTCAGTCACTCACACACTCTCAGTCACTCACACACTCTCAGTCACTCACACACTCTCAGTCACTCACACACTCTCAGTCACTCACACACTCTCAGTCACTCACACACTCTCAGTCACTCACACACTCTCAGTCACTCACACACTCTCAGTCACTCACACACTCTCAGTCACTCACACACTCTCAGTCACTCACACACTCTCAGTCACTCACACACTCTCAGTCACTCACACACTCTCAGTCACTCACACACTCTCAGTCACTCACACACTCTCAGTCACTCACACACTCTCAGTCACTCACACACTCTCAGTCACTCACACACTCTCAGTCACTCACACACTCTCAGTCACTCACACACTCTCAGTCACTCACACACTCTCAGTCACTCACACACTCTCAGTCACTCACACACTCTCAGTCACTCACACACTCTCAGTCAGCTCGCTCACACACACTCGCTCACTCACACTCACACACTCACACACTCACACACTCACTCACTCACTCTCACTCACTCTCACTCACTCTCACTCACTCTCACTCACTCTCACTCACTCTCACTCACTCTCACTCACTCTCACTCACTCTCACTCACTCTCACTCACTCTCACTCACTCTCACTCACTCTCACTCACTCTCACTCACTCTCACTCACTCTCACTCACTCTCACTCACTCTCACTCACTCTCACTCACTCTCACTCACTCTCACTCACTCTCACTCACTCTCACTCACTCTCACTCACTCTCACTCACTCTCACTCACTCTCACTCACTCTCACTCACTCTCACTCACTCTCACTCACTCTCACTCACTCTCACTCACTCTCACTCACTCTCACTCACTCTCACTCACTCTCACTCACTCTCACTCACTCTCACTCACTCTCACTCACTCTCACTCACTCTCACTCACTCTCACTCACTCTCACTCACTCTCACTCACTCTCACTCACTCTCACTCACTCTCACTCACTCTCACTCACTCTCACTCACTCTCACTCACTCTCACTCACTCTCACTCACTCTCACTCACTCTCACTCACTCTCACTCACTCTCACTCACTCTCACTCACTCTCACTCACTCTCACTCACTCTCACTCACTCTCACTCACTCTCACTCACTCTCACTCACTCTCACTCACTCTCACTCACTCTCACTCACTCTCACTCACTCTCACTCACTCTCACTCACTCTCACTCACTCTCACTCACTCTCACTCACTCTCACTCACTCTCACTCACTCTCACTCACTCTCACTCACTCTCACTCACTCTCACTCACTCTCACTCACTCTCACTCACTCTCACTCACTCTCACTCACTCTCACTCACTCTCACTCACTCTCACTCACTCTCACTCACTCTCACTCACTCTCACTCACTCTCACTCACTCTCACTCACTCTCACTCACTCTCACTCACTCTCACTCACTCTCACTCACTCTCACTCACTCTCACTCACTCTCACTCACTCTCACTCACTCTCACTCACTCTCACTCACTCTCACTCACTCTCACTCACTCTCACTCACTCTCACTCACTCTCACTCACTCTCACTCACTCTCACTCACTCTCACTCACTCTCACTCACTCTCACTCACTCTCACTCACTCTCACTCACTCTCACTCACTCTCACTCACTCTCACTCACTCTCACTCACTCTCACTCACTCTCACTCACTCTCACTCACTCTCACTCACTCTCACTCAC